TGAAGCATAACTGTTTCACAAGGGGTGTGTCGGGAGGGGATGGGGGGTCTTCAGGGGGGTTCGGGGGGCCTATTCCGTGGTTACAGGGGGCCGTTTGACGGCTCAGAGGGGGGAAAAATACAAAACAAAAAGGATTCAGTCGAAAGCAGCGCAAAATCACAACTCCACAGCGTTTTGCAACATCAAACCAGGCTCCTTACAGAGGAGTCAGTCAACAACAGCAGTGCCCCGATCGGCCGACCCCCCCAGTACCGGCCCAAAACACAAAAAACGGGCCTTTGGGGTGGGGTTGGCCGCCGCACAAAAATGCGCCAGGCCGACCCCGCCGGTCGGTTGGCGCCGACGGCCAAAGCGGTCGGCGGGTCGGCGGCCGACCGACCGAGGCCCGCCGACGGTCGGCATGTGCAACCCTGATCACACATCAATAAAGCAAAAACAAAAACAAATGAAAATCAACAAAAAAAGTTGAAAAAACTGAATTTGAGCTTCCTTCACAATCATTTTACATTCTAAAGTTAACCGAACTCATTATCGGTACATTAACATACACGAAAAAAGAAGATACAGATTACCTGAATGGTTCTGTCATGCTCCCCATTCTGCTCATCAAGTCTTTTGATGTCGTCTTTCAGCTTCTCCTGATGCAACAACTTCTGATCTGCTTGAATTTTGTCTTCCCGTGCAGCTCGCCATCTGACACTCGTATTGTGAAGTTCCCTGCTCAGCGTCTCTTGCTCGTCTCTCAGCTTATCCTTCTGCAGATTCATTTGCGACCTGTAATCCAAGCAGATGCATAAAATTGGGACGGAATTTAGTTCTGACACCTAAGGGCTTGGTCCGTAGCGGTTCCAGGTTTGGCCCTACAGACACAACCATATCATACAAAACTCAAAAGCCTGTATTCAATGTATTGTACATGGCAACTGCCTGGACGAGTGGGGACTCCATAGAGCATGTCGAACTGTTTCTTCCCCTGAAAGATGATCGAAGGAGCTTTCCCCCACCCCCATCGTGTTTGAAAATGATCACAGCTGGAGGGCAATGACCTGGCAGCTCTCCAACCACGTTCATGGATTCTGGGTATAAGGCTACAGGCCAAGCATCAAGGGGCAAGGCCCTGAGCTCCATCAACAGAGGCTTAATCTGGAGTCTTCCCTGTGATCTGTCTATCTGAACCTAGTGCCATGAATCAACTGCTCCGTGGGCTACACTGTGTTTCATTTTCCCTATGCTAGCATGTTTGCCAACACAAAACTGCATCGCCCATGGGGCTGACCATGCCCACTTAGGGATGGCTGTTGACAATGGGCATCAGGAGCCGCCAGGGTTTTGTACATCTTCTTCATCCATCAACTCTTCCTCATTCCATATCAACCTGACTCTGCTTCTCTTTCCTTGAGGCACATACACATCCAGTAAACCAGCACAGATTTTCCAAAGCAGCGTCACTTTCCTGAACACAACCCACCGAAAGAATCTCATTTTGCCGCAGAAACATGTAGGGTATCACTTGAGTGAAGCTCTCAAAGGAACAGAACTTCCCAGTGTTCCTGCATTCCATCCATGTAGTAGCTGCATAAAGACGAATAACCAGCAGGAGCATTTGAACGTTCACATTCTCTTTTTCCTAAGTAACAAATCAATTGCTTCGCAGAAGTGGGACACTGAAAATATGTAGCAATGCATTCACCTGCTCTTTCTTAAACCACCGGTTCACGGCCCTGTTACTGTTGAAAGGATTTAACGCTGCAACACATGTCCCGAGTCCCCGTCCCAGAGTCCCAGTTGGGCCCACTACAAGATGGTCCCAGTTCCACTAGGTCTCAGTTACCATGCCACTGCCACATGTGTTGCATGCCCAGTTGGGCAATGTATGTAGAGCCAAGGATCCGCAAAGTGATGAAAAGGACTAAATGGACAATGCAATGTTAATGAAATCTCAACAAGCAACGTTCATCCTGATATATGCAAAATGGCACTTTGTAGCACAGTGGGAGACTTGGATATGAGTCCTGACTTGACTGGGACTGACATGACATCCCATTATACTTCACACAAGTGAGAAGTGGAGGAATTCCCAAACTGTTGAATACCGTAATGGTGCAAACCAGAGCAAGGACCGACCGAACTCCCTCACATAGTACGAGATAGCGCAGCGGAATGCTAAGATATCAATGATCAACCCAATCAATGTCGTAATACAGACCCCACGTACATCATCATCGTTGCAAGGTGTGAGGGGGCCTGGCGCTACACACAGGAAGAATGCGCCAGGTCCAGACCATACACAGACGAAGAGGAGGGAAGCAGACGAAGAAGAGGGGGGAGATGGGAATGTCGCCAACACCAAGTCAAATGTCTGAATCCCAATGTCGAGTCTGGATCCAAATGTCGTCAAGTCTCAAAGTCACAAATCTCTCTCTCTAGTAGTCTGCAGATACTTAGAAGTCAAGTAGCGAGAGGGTGAGGAAGAGATGGTGGACTTAGAAGAGGAAGAAGAAGAACTCTCTCTCTCTCTCTCTCTCTCTCTCTCTCTCTCTCTCTCTCTCTCTCT